CGAACCAAATTCTTAATCATTGCGCCAACATTTTCACACGCATTTAGATCAGGGCTGAGACTGATTTAAAAATAATTTTAAAATATAAATAATACATTTATTCTAATTATACCCTGGATGTGGTAGAGGGAAGTGCTCGATGGGACCGATGTTCTCGTTAATCCAATTCCTGACTAAATTTGATTTGTGAACGGGATGATTGTCATGCAATAAATGCACGTTCCCGTCATCGAAATGCCGATCAATCTGAGGGAGAATTGAATCTTCCAAAAAGTCTGAATAAGACTTGTCAAACGATTGAGTCGATAAATGGGCCCAATTCCGTGGAAACTGAAACTAATTAAAAATTTTAAGAAATATTCATAATAATATTAAATATTAATTACCTCGCAATGAATGAAACACTGAATCGTTGTGTTCCCTGAATTAATGCGATGTTTCGGTCATTATATCGAGTGCTACGCGTACGCCAAACCCAAACACGACCGCCTTCTCCAGTCGATATCCCAAATTCATCAATGAATGACACGCGACCAGTCCACAAGTGTCCAGTTAACAAACTGTTCGGCATAAATGAGTCGCCTTTCCTTTTGGAAATCTCGCAGCCGTTCTTTGATGGCTGCAACACGATGTGTGACACCTTATGATACAAATAATTAATAAGAATTCTGTAAATTTAATCATAAATACCCTGATCACTCAATCGCCTCCTAAGGGTACGACCACTTGCAGCTGCAATGTTTTCATTGCTATGAATTTCCGGCGGTTGTCTCAACTTATTCAAATTAGTCCAGTTGTTGGCCAGTGCGGCGTCACTATGTGATTGGTCGTCCTCTGGTTCTGTGATCTTATCACGACCTCCACCTCTTGTGACAGTAATGAACGCCAGTTCCTTTCATCAATTTTGCACCACTCATAATAAGTTGGTTCACTGATCCCTAAAATTGGAAATTTTTTAATATAATTTACAAATCTTTAAATATATTTATTTACCAACGATTCGGAGAATCATCCGTTTCGTCGTATCTTTTGCTCTAAATTTTATCATTTGTCTGAATTTGAGCTCAAGTTTAATAACACTGAAACACATATCAACTTAAATTTGGTTTAAACTTATTTGAATCAAAAATAACGTCTGCATGTGAAATCTTGTCAAAAATAATCCATTTTGTATTAACCATCAAATAAATATTTTACCCTGATTCTTTATGTGGCAAATAGTATACCATTTAATTACGTGATTATCCAGCTACATTTTGGTTAAAACAGATTAAAAATCGGATCATCCATTAAAAATCCATTTAATTTATTCTTACTAAAGGTAGATTTGGTCAAAATAGTATGCTAACTAGTCTAAACAATCATTTGATTCACAAATTATGCTCCGGTATCATTGTAAGATTTTTAAAATTTATTATATTGTCATAAAAATATCATTTATATTGAATATGAATCCAAAAAATGTGTTTAAAAGTTTTTTAAAATAACATTTTTTTATTAAATTATATTTATACCAGGCGACAGCATTATATACAGTTAATTAATAATCAATTAATATTTTTGTTCATTAATCACAATTTGGACATCTGGCTAATTTCGTTCATTTTCAAATATTTATTAAA